AAACACAAAAGGAAAGGCACAAAGAGTCAGAAACACCACAACGAAACCAAAATGTCACACTCTATGCAAAATAAACCCACAAGAATAAATAATAAAACAAAAACAACCACAAAACAGTCAAAAGCTTTGCTGCAGGACAGTGACAGACAGGTACTGAGATAAAATGAGTGAGTATCGCTACAGAGGGAGGGCGCTGCTCGAGAGCTGGGGGATGAAGAGCCAAAGCTGCCGGGTATTTTAAAGGCACTCTGGGGTATAAATGCATTTTGTATCCTGCCTGGGGGAAAAAAACAACATAAGGCTAAAGAAATCCAACCCAAAAACTTAAAACAAGCAGCGGTGGAGATCTTAAAACTGTTCAAGGCAGAGGTAAATGGGTAAAGCAGCCGGACTCAGAGCTGTTCCAAATATTTGGTGGGAGCAGAGGATGGAGGCTCCTGGCTGGAGAGGAGTTAAGAGCCAGGGGGGCACAGGCAGGGTCTTGCCGGCGAGGGGCGTGGGAAATGCCCTGCAAGGCAAACATCAGCAATTCCTTGCACGTACACATGGTGCAATTTCATTTTCAGCTTCTTTTAATTTTAATTATAACAACCACAATATAACCCTTCTTATTTGTCACCCCCATTTTGAAGCGCAGGAGAGCGGTTAACCCGCGATGTCCCTGGGGAGCTGGAGGCATCAGCAGCACTTGGCTGCAGTACAGGAGGTCCCAGCCCTGAGCTCAGGTTAATAAATCGCTTCCCACCCACTTGGCTTACGCACGGAGGAAAAATAATCAGAATTTAACATGCTTGGTAAACATTAAAAGCATTTTCCAGTAAGTAACTGATTGTTAAAATAGAAATAAAAATGAATGTAAGAAATGGAAAATAGAAATAAAGATGACAAGGTGTCCTCTTCCAGCAGGCAAGTGAGGGCTTTAAACCCTTAATTCTCAGTGTAATCAGCAGAGCTCCACGGTGAGAGCAGATAAATCTATTGCTAACAGCTCCAATAATGAAATAGAGCAAAGGAAACTACATCCCATGGGGGCTTTTTACCCACCGTGTGCCTCCTCCTGTTGCTACTTGTGATGGCTTCGTAACTTAACGCGGGTGCTGAAGGACACGGAATGGTCACCTCTGCACATCACCCTACCGGGACTCAGTACGGCTTTCTTTCTGCCTGAGTAGAGTGATCAGAACTGGCTACTGATTCTTGATGTTCTTAGTAAGATGTTTTTTCAGTAAGAAAAAGTGGCCTGGGGTTTGCTTCCAGCCGTATCTCCCAGCTGTGTTAGTGCCATCAAACACAAGAAGCCAAGTATAAATATTCACAGGTCCAGCTGTTTTTTCTCCTTCATAAACAATTTAATTGCCTATATTTAGAAGATTTCCAAGAACTAATCTACTAATGCCAGTGTTTATATATTCCTTCTAACTTCACCTCATCATGATGCTCAGATGAAGCCGTAAAACCCTTCAGAAATGAGAAAATATGCACACACAGACTATTTCTAGTACAAGAGTTTATAAAGAATGACCTGCGCTGGTTCACCAAATAGATTTCCCACTCTTGAAAATTTTCCCTAAGCCTTACATTAAAGCAAAAATAGCAAAGCGTGAGGCTAAAGAGCTAAAATGCCTACTTTTCTATCAACAGCAGGACAGAAGCACTCAGAGTCTCAGCACCCTCCCAGGGATCAGGGCATGACGAGGACAGCGGACCTGGATGTGGCTCGGGAGGTGAATGCCCTTCAAGTCCTTATTTTTTTGGGAAGAACTTCTCAAAAACAGTTCATATGTCTTGCATTTGAGAAAAGGGAATAAAGCTGACCCTGGAAGGGCTGACACAAGCCTTTTCGGCAGGGCTACACACTCTGTGTTACACACCAATGAAGAAAAATTGATTAAAAAGAGAGTGATGTGGTGCAAAAACATTGTGCTGCTTCATTTCAGGGCCGAAATACCTCTCTTATCACTGCTCCACAGAAAAGATTTGTCCTTGCTGTGTTTAAAACAAGAACTGGAAGCTTACATTAAGAAACTAAAGCATATTCCATGGTGTAAAGTAATATGCGTCACAAGAAAAAGAAAAAAACCAAAAAACCTCAAAGTTAGTGAAAAATACCCTGATCTATTTTGTGCTGGTCACCACTGGCTATTGATTTTTTTAATTTTATTTTTTTTTAATAATTCAGGTTGATAGGATTTATTGCTATTAGTAGCTGTAAGCAACAGAACAAACTGTAGTCACTGCTGGCTTGGATTAAAAGACAATTCCGGTTTTTTTTCCTCTGTCCAATGAAGGTAGGAGATAGAAAGGAAAACTTCGTGACGAGACCTGGCTCCAACATTTCTGCCACCCACGCTCGCTCTGGTCTTGCTCACGGCTTTGAGGACAGCAGGGCACGGTCTCTACCTGCTGTAGAGCTGGCACACCTCAAGCCCTAAACACCCTCTCTGATAATGGTGAGTTTTTGGCAGACCTCCTAGAATTAGACAGTTTGTGTTAAAATCCTCCTGGGCTTGGGGCTGGCATCGGCAAGAGCTCATGGAGGATTTTCGGTAGGGCTGAACCTCTGACTTCCTCTTCCTTCCCCCCGCTGGAGCCGCACTTTGAGATTATCGCTATTGGAGCGACGCTACGACGCTAACGGGGAGAAAATGTGAAGCCAGTTGGATTGCAAAGGCAGCTGTCCTGGAAGGAACAGAAAAGCCTGAATCCTGCAATTTCCAATGGCCTTTGGATGCAGAAACAGGATGGAGGAAGCTCCCGCTGCTCGAGGATCAGCCATGGTAGCTGTGAGCCCATCTACCCACACCAGCCGCACCGGCTGCGGGACTGCGCTACGAGAGCCACAGGATGGCAAAGACGTCTGCCACCATCGTCCTCTCTTCGCCCTTCCCTCACCACCAAAAAAAGACAGTTAAAAAGAAATAAATGAATAAAAATTAAATCAAGCCCAGAACAAAATGCAAGAGTAGTTCAGGACTGGGCTAATCTTGCATTTGATTTGGAGTGGGGAGGTGGAATGAGATGTTATGGGTGCGGCTTTTAGTAATGGGGGTGGAAATGGTCACGAGCAGAGCGGATGGCAAAAACTGCAAACAGGAGAGTTTAAAAAAAAAACAAACAGAAAAATGGCTGACAATGGCAGACAAACTCTTCCTCGATACCTCCTCAATAACGGGGCCAAAACCCTACAATTTGATGCATTTTCCAGCCAAATTTCCTGAAGATGTTACAACCCAACGGCACCCTGGTCTCTGTCCTACTCCCAGCTGCAATTCCACTCTGGCCCTTGCGTGGCCACTTCACCTGGCAGGAACTGCCACGGCAGCTCATGCTTTTAGCAAAGAAGCAAAATCAGTGCATTTCTGTCGATCAGCCAACAAAAAAAAGATGTGGTAAAAAATAAATAATAATAATAAAGAAAGAAAGGAAGAAATCAAAACAGTGCCGTTGGCACAATTGCCTGCAAGAAGGAGTACAGTTTGTTATATTGCTTACAATGCAGTATTTTATCCAGCCTCTTCCAGCCAGGGACCTGTAAACCGGACTCTGTTCCAAAACCTTCCTCCTCTTCCAGTTGTCTGTGCAATGTATTGGCACTGTTCTGCTGGGCTGTCAAAAAAACTGGTTTAGAGATGCAGCTCTTCAGTCAAGTTTTTGCTCCAGTTCTAACCATAATCAACTCATTTGTGCTTTTTAACAATTAAAGATAACGAAGATGATTATACTTACTGAGAAAAGAGGGGTTTTTTTACCATCAGTATCCTGTTTTACTGATCAGAACGGGGGGACTAAGGAGTTGTTGGGGGTTCCAGTTACAAATCTGCAGCTGTCCACATCACAGAAACTTCATCGAACTGATGTTAATTGGCTTGCTCATCAACACAGAGGTCAACGGGCCTCGGAAACAACCGTCCTGCGAATCCCTCCAGAGGTGAAACCTCCAGAAGCGGGGCTGCGTGTGGAGGGAAACTTGCCCTGTATATACGTATTTATACCTGTTATGTGGACAAACGGAAGACTTCTGGCTTGGAGGCTTTTGGTTGCCACACTTCAGCAGCGTTCAGCTTACTCTAAAAAGAGAGGACCTGGGAGCGGTGCGGTGGTTTGACTGGTGACCTGAAAGCATTACGATGCAGATGTGGATTTGCAAGAGGCACAGTGATTGCTGCTCCCTTGACTGACTGAGGCTTGAGATATGACAGTAAGCTATCGTGATGGTAAGCTATCATGATGGTAATTTATTGTGACCTCCAGAAGGTGGGCTAAGCATCTGGTGCTCTAGGAGGGTCTCCTAGCATCGTGTGGAATTGTGCTAGGAGCAGAGATGCCCCAAAAAAGAGCCTGGTTTGGGGAACTGAAGTCCTACAACAGCAGAGCAGTATTACAGTATACACACACAAAAAGAAAAAAGATTATGGAGGATAATCAAACCTAAAGTTGGATGAAAAAGGGGCTTGGCACAAAAAGATCTGGGTACCCACAAGCTCTATGTTAAACGCGTGAGCACCCATGGGTGCTAGGCAGAAAATGGTTAGAACTGACCCAGTGGCACTGATTGGGAATAAAGCCCAGAGGCCACCGGAGACGGAGTGCTGCTGCAGAGAACCCCTTCCTTTCCTGATCTTTGGCCTATTGCTTTGTCAAATACTTCCTTAAAGAAAAAAATAAAAATGAAGAAAAGAGAAAGATTCTGGTAATGAATCTAAACTCTACAATGAAGTGAACCTGAAAGCAACTATGCTAAAAATAAATGGTGTTATTTGAACGTGGATGAGAAACCCTCCATCGCTACCTTTCTGACAAGCCACTTTAAAAAGAAAATTATCCTACCAGGACAGTGTCTGAAAAATTCAATCAAGATTTGCCATTTGGAACGTGCTTCCAGTTCAGTAAAGATGTTTTCTGGAGAATCGACCAAGTGCTATTGAGACACACGTACACACAGAGGAACGTGCAAACGAAGAAGAGAGAACATAAAATAACCCAACCGTGGGCTCCCTTACCGGCGAGCGGGTCTGAGGCTGGGTGTTCATTGTTTGAGGGGCTTGAGGGTACACCAGCGTGGTTGGAGCTGCATTCTGTCCTGAGGGGTAAGGAGCCTGCAGGGAACAAGAAAAGTACATCAAGAAATGAGTTTATCAAGTGATTCATCCCAAAAGACAGGAACATGTTCTCAGATGGACTGAGATAAAGACGACACAGCCGATGGCGATGGAGAAAGCCTCCGTCAAAGATCCAACCGATTTATCAACGCTACCCCAAGCGTGGTGGTGGAAAATGCAGCGAAGAGGCACATCAACACAACACGGCGTCACTGGAACCCGGCGTTGTCTGACACGAACTTTCTAAAAACCTCCTCTGGACCTGCTTCCACGGGAAGCTGGAGCTGGAGGTACGGCCGATAAATCCTCCAAAGTAAAGCAAGCGACAAGAAACAAGCTCAAATGCATTTCATACAAGCTGTCGCTGCTTTAAAGTGTCTGCAACACAACGAAACGGCCCCAGATTGTTACAGATGCAAGGCAGACCACGGGCTGTGTAAATTTTTCATAGCTCCACTGATTTCAATGAGCTGTAACATTATATATATTAAATACCACCAGATGCTCTCCCTCGAGTTATTTGCCCAAAGTAACAATAAACTGGAGCTGTAGAGCTGTGCCGATGACGCATTTTAACGAGACATTTAGGAATAACTTTTCAGAACACCTTTTGCCTTTATTTTTTTTGAATGAAAAAGTTACAACTTACCTTTTTAAAAACAGTTTACTATTGTAACGGCATAAAAACCAGCCAGTAGCCTGCAACAGCCTTAGTTTTCAAGAGGAATTAGCCCAAACTCTATACGCTGCCCTGTAGCTCCTGTACAACTCCATCACAAGCCACTTCTCCAACTCCTCAGCTCTTCCCCCTTCACTGTCTATCCCTTGGGGTACCCTGAATTTTGGTAATCAACCTCCTGGTACGTACATGCCATCGAATTTACCTGATGAATAAAGGAGCTCAGCAGGTCTTGGGTCTCTTTCAGGAGGAGGTCTTTGGGCTCACTTTATTGAAACGTGCTTAAAAACCCTGCAAAACCCCTTTGTACACAGAATTCTCATGCATTCACACCGCAAACCTTGCTGGAGAATCCCCTCTCATCTTTGCATTTCATGGTCCTCACAGTAAAATTCAAAGCAGGCCTAAGGAATAACAGGAATCGTTTCAGTCCGTAAGGTGGTATGGAGAGAATACGTTTCTCTGCACCAGCCCTCTGGCACATTTCAGGTATCTTTGATTTGAACTGTGCTATATTTTATTTGAATAATTAAATTTTTTAACAATAAAATGAAGTTATAGTTGGTAGACCAAAACTGTTTGTACCTAAGAAAGAAAAAAGAAACTCAGAAAACTTTAGCTATCGAGAGAAGTGACCCAGCAGAAAGCCTGCAGCTCTGTTTTCGCCAACAGCTCCAGGAGACGAGCAGGAAGACCACAAAATATGCTGTTTCTAGAAAGAAACTCGGTCCTGAAGCCTGCAAATCTTCCAAGTCTGAATGAGCAAACTAAGCCAAGTATTACCAGGCATGGTCCGGCTTTAAAGGGAGAGTCTGCCAGTCCTGACAAGATGAACGAGGTGTGCTTTTAAGGAAAAGAGCGCAATTTAAGAAGAGCTTTTCTTGCAAAATAAAGCGGGGATAGCAATGTGCCATCGGGTAACACATGCGTTTCCTTCTCACCTCTCAGGCTGAGTGCCGTGGAGTCACAGACCTCACCCAAACTCAGCCTCTTCAGCCCTTGCAATACCAGCAAACGTGGGATGGTTTCAGAGCAAGAATACGTTTTGTTTTGGAGGAGCACCCAAAACATCCTGTTGCTGGAAGGCATCGCCCAGCAAGCGCCCCAGCACACACCAACCAGTGCCCTGTGCCTTGCAGAGCGCCTGGGAGACAGCTGGGTCTCTGGGCTGTTCTTTTTCTTCTTTTTCATCCCTAGACATAAAATCCCTGCTTAATCTCCTGCCCATCAAAATGTAATACAAGGTAAACGCAAATACAGTTGAGAGGCAATCTGACCAAAGAATTTTCCAGGGAAAACCAAGGCAAAACAAAATGTGGGGGTGGGGGATGAGGGGACTGAGCACAGCCCAGAAATAATCCCTCCTGCTGCAATACCTCGCCTTCCTGCTTTGGGACTACACTCAAAATGGTCATTAAAGAGCGAATTAAACACGAATACAGCAAAGGACAGTGTTCCTGCCACACAAGCTAACTAGGCAGGATGTTCTGTTGTTTTCTACCCAATTTTCACATTGCTTTTTGGGTCAAAGAGATGACAAAAATGCACAGCTCCAAGTACCTCACTAGATCTTTGCAGGGATTTTGGACACCAAAGCACACTTGGTGGAGTATTCAGCTGAATAATGTTGTTCTGCAGTGGTTTATATCAATACAGCAGCAAAGACTCTGGTTCAAGAGCAATTAAATGCTTTAATCGACTCCTGCTATGGAAGCAGGGCAAGTTTTACCCTGCTCTTCCTCTCCAGGAGCTCATTTGGTCCCATCGTTTCTCCAGCCAACGCTTCCTTCCCTTCTTACCACTGGCAAAGCCTTGAGCTCATGTTAACAACTAATTTGCAAGAAGTCGCCCAATTTTTCTGAGATGTCGGATGCAGCCTCCAATATTTTTCCCTTTTATTTGACAAGTGTGACTCTGCCTGAGCTGCTCGTGTCGATGGCGCGTAACAAACAGCACGTACCACATCTCGCAATGCCATTGCGGCGACGAGCGAATGCAGCCCGGCGCGGGATCATTGAGCACTAACAAGACACGGGGAAACTCCAGGATCTTCTCATCCACAACCTGGAGACATCGTCCTGTGCTTGTAGCATGCCGTAGCTTGCAGCTGACTTTCTGCCCCTGGGATCTCTGCCCAACGTGAGATTTAGGCTGAGGGGAGACCTCATTGCTCCCTACAGCTCCCTGAAAGGAGGGAATAGCGAGATGAGGGTTGCTCTCTTCTCCCAAGGAACAAGCAATGGGACAAGAGGAAACAGCCTCAAGTTGCACCAGAGGAGGGTTAGATTGGATAGGAGGAAAAATTTCTTTACTGAAAGAGTGGTCAAGCACTGGAAGGGGCTGCCCAGGGCAGTGGTGCAGTCACCAGTCCTGGAGAGGTTCAAAAAATGTGTGGATGTGGCACTTGGGGACGTGGTTTAGTGGCCATGGTGTGGTTGGGTTGACAGTTGGACTTGATGATCTTGGAGGTCTTCTCCAACCTTAATGATCCGATGATTCTATGACTAAGACTTCTCTCCCTGGAGGATCGGTGGCTTTCTGTGTGCAAAGTGTCCCAATGCTCCTCTTATCCTCCAGACAGCAGCGAGCAGGCAGGGTCGGTGACTGTGTTGAGAAATATTAAAGACCACTCACATACAAGCGAATCAATTGACCTCCAGCTCTGCATCTCAGGAGCCCTCACCCCAGGCAGTTTGAGCTGCTCCTCCCACAGCAGGCCAGCAAAAAGAGATGGAAATATCCACTATTCTTCCCCTTCCTCAGGCTCGTGAATCATGTTTTCTTCCAGCTTAACTTGCACGCAACAGAAGAAAGTTTAAGTCACAGACAACTACCCCAAAAGTCCTTACCCACCTCCAAAATAATCCGAGTTTTCTTTTAATCACCCAAGTGAAAGGAAATGTGAAAGAAAGGAAGCCTAAAAACCTGAGTTTTAGCAGAAAGCTTGTAAAGCAGGCACTTTGAAATACCGTGCCAAAGACAGTCACCTCACGGGTAACAGCCGTCAGCTCCGACACCAGCAGCGCTGAGGCAAACGCAAGACAACGCAACCCACTGTTAAATTTGCTTCAGTATTTAAACCCTATCAGAATAAGTATAGTATTAAGTTAGAAATGAAGAAAAATATATATGAAGGCTTAATAGCAGCCACTGAAGGGTTTCTGCTATTAAACTGTCATCAAAATCAGGTAATTTTGGAGAGCCAGTGCTGTTTCTAAGCCAGATGACTGCTCCGGGTGCTCGGTTCACATCTGCAGCCATGAGGAACACATGTGATACCAATGCCACTGAAGACAACAAACAGCACCCAAATCAACACCTTTCACAATGATTACACAGCAAATGCTTCTGCTCCGTGTGCCTGAACCGGTATTTCTGTTAAAACCATCATGGGGGGGGGGAAGGGAGGAAAAAAAGTGCTTTAGACATTTCTGCAGGTACCAAGTTCACACAGAAGTGCATGGTAGCCTAAAAAAAACTATCAAAAGAGAGGCTAAATCACAGCACCGCACTCCACTGCTTTGCAGAGAAGTCAGCTGATTAAAAGTACTGCACATACTCATGTGTCAAAAGGACTTTTTTCTGTGCCAAGCATCTAGATAGGAACACAAAGTAATTATAATCACATGCGGTCACGCTGGAAATACGTGGCTTTTCTGCACCGCGGCTGAAACGCTGAGGATGAGGTGAGCAAATGAAGAGACGAGCGAGGAAACACTCCAAAAATCCCCTAAACAAACGACCACGGAGGGGGAGGCGGGGAAGCCAGTATTGCTCTGTATAAAAAATTGTGTTTAGAAGCATCTAAACCCTGACAAGGAAATCCTGGGGGTTCAGATAATTGCAGCACCCTGAGCTGGAACGGAGCTGCTCCACTTTTGAGGCAGAGCAATTTGCTCCCTTTAAAGCTTTCATCTTCCTGATGTAACATTTCAGACGTGGCTATCCGGGGGGAAGGCGATAACGTTGTGTGTTTAGGTATTCCCACAACGTGCTGGGGAAAACCCTTTCCCTGCGCTGTTTCCACCTTGGGCTGCTGACTTGAAAATCATCACTACTAACAAAACAAATGAAAAAAAAGGTTATTTTTAGATCGGTTCCCGAGCTGGTTAATAAACACTGCGCCTGCTGCGTAACATGAGTCCCTGGGTACTGGCTGTACTGGGAATAAACAGGCGAAGCGCACACATCGGGTCCTGAAAAAGCTGAGTCACGCAGCTCCCTGCCTCCCGCAGCCGGCGGGAATCTTCTCTTTGGGAACAAAACCTCTCCAATCTGCAGGCAGGAAGGTGTCGCTTGCTGAGTTTTTGGCATTCGT